TGCGCAAGGCTCCTCCGCCCCCTCCGGCCCCCAAGCCCTCAGAGGACCGGCGGGGGCCTCGGCCGTCTCCAGCCGGTCGCTCTCATGGGTGCCCTGCATGCCCACCCACTGGCCCAGCCAGAACCAGGAGACGGTGCCCCCAGTCGCTGGCGAGGCCGGCTCAAGGCCCCAGGGCGGCCACACACATGCTGGAGAGGAGCCTCACGGACACCTCCCGCGGGACTGGAGCTCAGCACGTGGCACTCTGAGCACATCGGCTGCCCTGAGTGCGTCCACAGCCAGACAGGCCCTGCTCAGGACAGGAGAGCACAGGGTGGACGGGCCAGCTGTGCTGCAGCATCCGAGGACTGCCGCCCAGCACCCCACCTCCTCTCAGGGCCAGCCTGCTCGCCAGATCACGCCATGCCTGCTGGGGGCCATGCCCCTTGCCGCCCAAACTCCAGGGCTGGGCCCAGGCCCTCCCCGGCCTGGCTCTCCACGCCAGACGTCCGTGTGTCAGACACCCACCCACTACCCCCAACCCACCCTTCTGTCCATCTGCCCGTCCGCCCACCTGCCTTCCGCCCGCTGGCTCCACATCCACCCACCCCCCGTGTTCGTTCGTCCGCCCGCCCACCCGACAGCCCACCCATCCATCAGTCCGTCCATCCTGTGCGTGAATCCACCTGTCCACCCAGCCATCCTCTCATCGATTCCCCGCCTCATTCGCCAATGGAGCCTCCAGCCACCCACGTACCACCCACCAATCCGTCCACCCTCTCTCCGCCCGTTCACCTCTCCACTCTCCACCCTCCCGTCTGTTCTCTTATCCATCCGTCCACCTGTCTGTCCACCACCCAGCTACCCACTCATCGTCCACCCCCCGTTTGTCCAACCATTCACCCGCTCAGCCTTCCATCCCTCCTCCTGTCCATCCTCTTGTCCACCCACGTGTCTGTTCATCCACCTAACTCACAGGTGCTGAGCAAACTACCTGCACTATTTTCTACAAGGACACAGCACTTCTCAGGTGAACAGAGCAGACATAGCCACTTCAACAGCAGAGATGAGCCCAGGCACAGGGAAAGGAGGCTGGGAAACCTCCCGGGAGGAAGAGACTGCCAGGACAGACGGGCATCAGCCAGACTGAAGCACAAAAGCGCTCCAGGCGGAGGGAGGGCAGGGCCAGGCAGACCGACGTGCTGCACCAGCGCTCGGGCAGTCCAGGCCGAGTGGCAGGGGAGGAGGTGGGTGTGGCGAGACGCGGCTGATCTTGGAGGGCTTGGTCAGCCTTGTTCATGATCCTAGGTCTCACGTGGTGGCCTTGCCTCTGCCCAGTCGTGTGGCCTGACCCTCCTGCCCTGGACACTGTTCTCGGAGGGCTGGGAAGAGGCTGCTCCCCCGGCCTCCTGTCTCATCGACCTCGAGGCCCCCACGGCCTGCAGGGCATCCTGGAGCCTTAGAGCCGGGCACTGTGCATGGCCCATTGCTGGAGCGGCAGGTGCTACAGGCGTGGCTGAGCTCACAGGCAGTGGTGGCAAGGACCCCAAGCAGGACTCCCGGCCGAGGCAGGCTTGGCTGCCCTGGCCAGGCCAGGAGGATGATGAGAAGGAAGCCTGACGGCCGTGTTCCCAGCACACCACAAGCTGCCTCCTGTCCCAGGTGGGCACAGGGCCCAGTCAAACCGTCTCTGAGAGATCTGAGCTCCAGCAGGCCGAGAGGCCGAGGCAGCTCGTGCCCCCAGGCTGTCCTGGCGTCTGCCTGAGTTTCTGACTCAACCGTTGCCCCGGGCCACTGAATCTGTCCTGCCCAGGCTGTCCATTCAATTCTGCGAGGCAACTAAACACCACCTGTAACAGTGCTGCATCTGTGTCGGGAGCACGCAATCTGCCTGGAGCTGCTGGGCAAGCGGCCCTGTGCACACACAAGCACGCATGCTCACACAGGTGTCCACACATGGCATACTCACACACACATGTCCATACATAGGCACTCATCACACACGCACACTCACACGCTTGCCCACACATGCACACACACATGTGTGCAGTCACACGTGGGGCTGCACACAGCCCTCTGGTAAACAAGGAACTGAATTCTCCATCTGCAGATAAGGGAAGCCACCGGGAAGCGGGGTCTTCTGGAGAACGCAGTGGAGCCCCAGAGGCCATTGCCCCCCAACCGAAGATTGCCCACCGAGGCGGCGCCCTAGACAGCTGCCCCGCCTGCCCAAGCTCCTCCCCTCGGTCAGCGCCGCGTACACACACCCTGGATGCGGCCCGCGCGGTGCCAGGGGTCCAGCCCGAGGGCCTCCCCCCGCAGCCCCCCCTGGCCTGGCCCGCGGTTGACCCCCCCGGGGCCCCCGGCCCACGCGACACCTGGAGCTCCGCCCGAGGGCCGCCCTGCAGCCCGCCCGCGCCCCACGCGCACCCTGCATCTCCTCCAGCTTGGCCATGTACGCGCTGAAGAGTGAGTAGATGCGCTCCGTCTCCCGGTCCCCGTCGATGTCCAGCTGGATGTTGGCCGGGAGGCCGCTTCCCGCGAGAGAACAGGAGGTAGAGCGCGCGTCAGACGGCCGCGAGCCGTGACACTCACTTGACAGTCGCTGCTGGGGAAGTGGGTGACCACGGTGCGCACGCGTGGCCCCGAGGGGGACGGGGCAGGAGGCCACAGGCCGGCCGTGGGGATGGGGGTGGCGGCGCGCGGCCTTCAGAAAGGGCCACCCGCCTCGGGGACCAGGCCCCCAGGGCCCCGCGGATCTGCCCAGGCAGCGGGCCACAGGCAGCCCTGACGTGCCCGGAAAGAAACGGCCTAGATAAACGCTGGGCTCTCCGCCCCAGGCCGCAGGGCTCCTGCACCTCCGAGGCTGGACCTCAGCCCTGCCTCTGAGAGGCCGGGAGGACGAGACAGCCGAATGCGGAGCAAGCCTGTCACTGCGGGCTCGTCCTCGCACGGCCACAACAGCCCGTGTCCTCAGTGGCACATGCACAAGTCCCACGGGGCGTGAGCGGGGCCTGCTGGCACCTGGCGAGGCTGGGGGCACCCAGGCCTCCTTCCTGGGATGGGCAGAGGCGGCCCAGAGCCCTCATGAGCCCCAGGTTGCCCAGTGCGACAGGCTGGGAAAACGAGGGGCCGCCTCAGTTTCCAAGGCAGGGGCGTGCAGGGATGCCGGCTGGAGAAACCGCAGGGGGCGAGGTGAACGGGATGAAGCTCTGGGGAGGGCCCTCTCTGGGTCTTCCCTGGGCTGAGCCCCTCTTCCCCGGTCTGCCCCCCAAGGGCGGCTCTGCCCCGGCAGACGCTGGGAGAAGTCTCCAAGGCTCGGGTTCCCGCAGCCCCCACCGCGCCCTCGAGAGGCTCGGGTGCTGGTGCTCCCGGCGGGAGGGTCCTCAGACGTGTGGCTCTCGCCCGGTGCCGACCTACCCGGTGCAGGGGGAGCAGCCGGCGGCTGTGTCCGAGGAGGCCCTGCAGCACAGCCAGTGGCCGTTGAGGTAGGCCGACGGGTGGTAGACGGTGAGGCGCATCTGGTTGCACTGGCTGACTTTGGTCAGGATGTCGATCCAGTCCTTGGCCTCCACGCAGTTGTTGGCCTGGATGTAGAGGGCGCGCTCCGGCTGGATCACCTGGAACATCTGTGGGCCAGGGGCGGTC